AGGAGGAGGAGAAGAAGGAGGAGGGAGAGGAGGAGGAGGAGGAGAAGGAGGAGGAGGAGGAGGGAGAAGAGGAGGAGGAGAAGGAGGAGAAGGAGGAGAAGAAGGAAGAGGGAGAGGAGGAGGAGAAGAAGGAGGAGGGAGAGGAGGAGAAGGAGGGGCAGGGAGAGGAAGAGGAGGAGGGAGAGGATGGCAGCTAGCATTCACTAAGTGCTTATTAACTCCCAGGCATTGCCCTAAATGTTTTATATACAATAACTTACTGAATCCTCCCAATGAGGTACCTATGAAGCAGGTACTATTATTATCCCCTCATTTTTAAAGAGAGGGAAACTGAGGAACAGAGTTGCTGAGTAACTTGCCCAGGGCCACAGAGGAGGTGAATGGTGTCACAGAACCAGTTCCAGGCAGCCCAGCTCCAGACTCCAGACAAGATATTTCCTCTGCCCTCAAGTACCCAAGGGATCCCAGGGTCCCTGCACCTGACTCTGAATTACCTTGCCTCAGGACTAAGTATGTCCAGTTTCCTCAATTCAAAAGACAGACGGGGTTTGTAGACTCCTTGAACTTGACCACATCCTAGCTTGTCTCGATTTTGTTAAAATGAGTTGTTCAGAATGAAACAGAATAACGCTCCAGAAGGGGTTAGATCTACTCTGCACTCCAGGGAGTAACAGCTCCCACGCTCTGGAGTCTTCCTTCTACTGATGTACTTAAAGGTACAGATCCCTTTTTTTAGTAGCCAAGATGGTCCTGCAGGCTTAAGCTTTAAGAGCAGAAGGAATTTAACTGTTAATCCAGGCTGTCACCTTTAACTTCGGGGCTACTAACGGGCTTCATCATGAAAATATTAGTGGTGTCAGGACAGCTCCCCCGCCCAGAATTGTGTTGTGGACTTCTTGGATAAAGTTCCTCCTAAGTCAAAGGGATCATGCATTTTTGTAGCTGTTTGCACAGACTACTTTCTGTCAGGAGCCTCTCCAGCTGGAATCTCTGAGACGCTGGATTTTCCAAAAGCACAGAAGCACGCATATTTGGGGGGGAATCCACTGATGCATTTGAAAACTCAGAAGTGTTTCATTCATTTTGCCTTCCAGAGTTACAAAACAAAACAAAACAAGACAAGACACCCAAGCATGTTAGCCAGGCACAAATGAATCACTAGCCGCTCAGAGTGGATCGTATAGCGAAAGTCAACAACTTAAGTTATGCCTTTCAACCCTGAAAATATCTTAGAATTGGAAGATGTGGGGTGGATTTCTCATGGCATTCCTGTCTGAAATTTCTTAAGGTAATTTCCACAGCTCGTCATACCAATGATGAAAGTTACATTTGGGCTTAGGATGGCCTCGCTGTTTCTGCACATAACCCACCCAGAACAGCAAAGGTACAAAAGTCAAGACATTAGGAATGTGACAGGAAGGAAGGGGATTAATTAGCCAGAAGGTACTTGTCGATCTAATGATTTTAAATATAGTCCAGGGCTCAGGGATACAGGAAGGGTGGAATCTCTTCTTCATTGTTAATCTCAGTTTTAATTTCAACCTGGTCACGTGGCTGACACGAGGAGACTCAAGTCCAAGGTGGGTGTCACACTCCACAATTACCTGTTGATATATTCCCAAAACACAACAATTACAGTCGAGACAACCAGCATTGACAGAATCACTTTTCCTTTGACATTCATTATTTTCTCCTGGGGAGACAAAAAAAAAAATAAGGAGAAAGGAAAAAGCAGATTAAATAAACACAAAGTGAGGCATGGTTTTCTAAGAAAGGCTGCCACCTTCAGAGAGGAAAAGCTCATAAATATTTAGCTAGCACGAAGGAGTGCCATTAGCTAGCTCAATGGCAAAGTAGTAATTCAATGAGTTGGCAGGGCCGCCCGGGTGGGAAGGGGGCTTAGGTCACTCTGGCGCTGAGAGGGAAGGTATTGCAACTGATCCCGGTCCGCCATGGATGTGGGTGGGCGAGGGTGTAGCTAGAAACCGTTCCCATGGACCCTCGCTGCCTCCTGACCCAGATTATGGGAAACCATCCTTTCCCTGGCTCTGCTGCCGTTGACATACTGACCACAGGCCCCATCCTCAGAGGGGAAGACAACCCTGGTCCCTTAAAGTCTAGGCTCTCCCATTCTCAGCCCCATCCGGCTTTTCCCCACCACACCCACAATCAATCAATCAATCAATCAATCAGTGCACGGTGGGTACTTAAATATGTCTTGATCGCTGCATGAAGTCATGGTTGGAGAGGGGCTGGGTGCCAGGTGGGGAACGACAGGTTGCAAAGTACTTTAATTTGGGCGGTGAGGGAAGACCTTGCTGGGGAGGTGACGAAAGCTTCCCAAGGGATGAAGACAGAAGGCAAAAGGACGAGAAGTGCAAGGCAAGTCCCACACTTGGGAGCAAACAGATCTAGATCGGGACTGTGCCCACCCGTCATAATGATGAGATGTCTTCACTCCCAGAGAAGGGTGGATTTGGGTGCCAGCCCTCATACACACAGAGCTGGAAGACCTTGAACATGGGGCAGCTCCTCGGGTCCTCATCCACAGCTCCAAAAAGCTCCGAGGACCAAAGGCCTTTTTATAATTTATTTGGCACCAAGATCCTAACTGATATGAGGCTATTTATAATCTTTATCCCACTTGGTGATGCTGTTCACATGTTTCTTTGCAGAAATATTGATGGATTTCATTACGTCGTGCAGCATAATACACAATTATGGGCGTTCCATAATACACGATATATTATCTGCGCCCCCCAAAATTCTGAATCCCAACATACCTGGCCCCAGAGTTTCAGAAAAGGGATTGTGGATCGCTAACTGAATTGGTTCCTTCATCTCTAAAACGGGGACGGAAGTGGTGATGATCGCAAGAGGTAACGTCCACAAAATGCTTCACATTGCGCCTCACACTATATACATGCGCCCCAAAATGCTAGTTCTGGTTACCAGGCTGTTGGGAGGCTCCAATGGGACAGCACGGTGCCTGGTACTCGGTAAGAGCTCAAAACGTATATGAGGAAAAGGAGTGAGAACGTGTTAAACAACGAGGTGCAAATAAATGCAGATCGGGGACTGTAACGGTTTATCCATCTGTTCGGTGCCACAGCCTGATTAAGAGCTCCTGGGAAGCGGGAGGCACCCGGAGTTTCTCCGATCGAGCCCAGGGCCCTGTTACAGTCCTGCTACAATACCTGTGTGTGCGGAGGAGGTGACAACGTTGCATCCTGAGCTTTATCAATGCCACCTGCTGAGGATCCAACGCCAACTGCTTCCCGGTGGAAGAAACACTGAACGCTAAACCGAGGAACGCCCCAACTCCCGGCGTGGAGAACAATGACACGCTGGGCAGCGCCCAAATCAGACACACCTCCCAACCCCCTCTCCCAGTATGCGCATAACTTTTTAATTCCAGAAACTAGCATCAGAGGCAACTCTCGAAGCCCATATCTTTCTGGAGATCGCTTGAACCTGCTTATGTTTTGCTGGAGACTTACGCCTGGAGGCCAGGTGGGTGAGCCAATACCGGGTCTCTTTTTGTTGTTGTTTGTTAACTTTCTTTATTCTGAGAGAGACAGAGAGAGCGAGCGGGGGAGGGGCAGAGAGAGAGAAAGAGGGAGCATCCCAAGCTGGCTCCACGCTGTCAGCACAGAGCGTGATGCAGGGCTCGAACTCACGAACCTGTGAGATCATGACCTGAGCCGAAACCAAGAGTCGGATGCTCAACCGACTGAGTCACCCAGGCGCCACCCCCCCACCCCCCACCCAATACTGCGTGTTTTAGCAAGCCACTAGAAATG